GGCTGGCTGCATAGCATCTGCCAAAGCCATATGAAAAATATGATACAGTATCTGTAGATATACACCTAATACATCCATGCTTATAGATGCATGTGATTTATATAAAGATTTCTATTGTATGGCTATTGTAAACAGCCTGTTTTAGTGTTACTGCCTCTAAGTACTAGCTTCCTATGAGCAGTGGCTTTGTCTTATCATCTATGTGTTCTCAGATAAAGAGCAAAGTGCCTGACCCCATACTAGGTGCTCAATAACTGATTTTTGTTGGATAAAAGAATCCATAGTACCTGAACACGTGGGTGATACTGGTCTACAAACTTGCCACACAGAGCCCCCAGGATGGACTCCAGCTGAGGTCTTATAGCCACTAGCATAAACCCAAGGCTTCATAGTCATTAGAACAGTACTCTGGGAAATGCTTTTGAAAGGTTTGCCTCTGGCATACATAGCAGCAGGGGGAATGTTTCCCACTGGGGCTGTCCGTCTACTCAGCAGTCTGCCGCGTTGCTTAGGAAACCCCCAGGGTTGCATTGGCTATTCCATGACCCAAACCCACTATACAATCCACAGTTTATAGAACTTGAGTGGCAACTTAAGAACTAATGATGCTACCAGGGAAAATGAAGATACATTGTTCCAACTAAATTAGGCTACATGGTCTAATCCACTTCACGCCAATCGATTTACATCATGCTGCAGGGGAACGACAATTGTTTTCTCAGGCAAGTTATCATCGCAACCAGTTTCAATAAACTAAGATGGATAGCCATGTTATCTGCCAACAGCAAAATAATAAATGAGATGGGTTTCAGGACTGTAACAGAAGAGGAGAAAATAGCTCGTCCTTGACTAGACTCACTTTATGTGTTTGCTGGTAATATCTACGGCGGGGAAGTTCAATGACCAGTTTATAAAGTATTTTCACTTATGGTGCTGTCGGAATTTTTAAAGCAGGGTTTATCTATATTAGTATATCTGTAATCCCAAGCAATGAAATCCATAGCATTCAACCAGAAAGTAATGTGCACAAAGTTTATCTTTAAGGTAAGTTCACAAGGGCAGAGATATAAAATCAAAACTTTCCCTCTCACAGGTTCTCACTCTGTTTGTATACCATGTGGATGTTTATGTGAAGCAGAAAATCTGCTTCATTATGACGGGAATTTATGTAAATCGAGGCTCTGCCAGCTCCATGGAGGTCTTCCTGCACTACAACTTCTTTAGTATAAATATAATCTAGAAAATGGCCTTTATGAATACTCTACAGTTTCTCTCTACTTCATTGTGATAGAAATTGATGTCAAGGGAAATGAAAATAAGGACAGACAGGCTGTCTTTTTTTAACCACATATGAGTAGTATATAACCTGTTACAGAGTCAAAACTTAATATATGTTGATGAATGAATGATCTAGGAACAACTATAATGGTATATAAAAACAGTGATATACATGTAGCCTATGGGTGGCTCCAAGGCCACCAGGTTGGTTTTCTCTACTGGTGTTATTCCTGGTGACCAAACCCAGTGGAAAGTTTATAAGTTTTCTTTTTTTAGGTGCTCCAGGATCTTTCCAACGTAGCTCATTTACACCAATGTGCCTGAAAGCCAAAGAGCAAAGTCCAGTGGCCCAACCGGGAGCGACCTGGCTCAATCCTAAACAGAACGTAGGTCTGGCCCAAATGTGCCCAGCATGTGCAGTCGAAGGACTGTAGAAGCAGATTTGATGCTGCACTGCTCTGCTCCTAGCACGACTCTGTGGCTGGGCTGGGGCTGTATTCACTAAACTGGAAATAGGTGACTGGTGACTGGCGGCTCCCAGTTTACAGACTTGGGATCATTGGAGTATGTAGGGGAAGTTTCATACTAGATTTCACATTTAATAAAAGCCAAATTAAAAATCATTTGACCAGGGGCCAGAAACAATCCTTAGAGTCTTTGACAATGTTTTAAAAAACAGTGTAAGTCTCCCAGAAAGTGACTACACTTCTCCACCGACTGAGGGCCAACTGGTGGGGGAGGTGTGTCATTAATGTGTAACATGAGTGGTTTTGTGAATTAGGAATCTGGAGTCTGATTCCTCCCTGCCAGAATAAATTATTTTCCCCCTGTGTATGCTCTTGCATTAGGAAAAAAAAAGTAGAGAGAGAGAAAAAGATAGATACCTCTTGACTTATAAATTTGTATTCTATTTAACCAAGAAATTCAATTTTTTATAAATATATTATGAGAAGAAAATAGGCATGTAACTTGAAGGATGTTTATCATACTCTGATCTATAATAGCAATGAATAAATATATAAGGAACAACCTCAATGTCCATCAATTAGAGGATTAGAAAAATACATTAAAGAGCATATCCATTCAAAGGAATTTGGGTGGTGAATAAGTAGAACCATGTAGAAGAATACTAAATGACCCGGAAGAGATTTATAATGCAATTTAAGTCAATAAAGCATGTTTCAAAAACATAATTAAATATAATTCCAGGTCTTAAGTATTTGCATAAATTTGTGCAAAGTGCTAATTGGAGCTATGTCTGGGTAGAGAGATTCATCTATAAACGAAGTAACTGAGGTTCAGCAGTTTAAATGATTTTTTAAAATTCACATGGCAAGAAAGTGTAGAACGAAGTTTCAAACCTAAGTATAAACACATCAAACTCCCAGGCCTAGGCTCTTTATACCACATTTTATTGCTTATACCCAATCTGCATACGTCCGTATTAACCAGAGACTCCATAACGGACTTAGATAAAGACTTTAATTCTATTTAACCAAAAAGAACATTCTAAAAGACCCAAGTATTGCATATTCCTCATTTTTAATACTTCAAGTAAGCTGGAGGATTTATATTTGTTCCTATCAGCCTTTAAACCACTGAGTTATAGAGTGAAATACAGATTTGATCCCAAAAGATCCACTGATTTCACAGCCAACCCAGACTTTCTGTTAAAACTCTCTTACAGAGTCTCCACAACTTCTCCTGGTCACTTGTCGAAGTTTCCAGAGCATCACTAAAGAGCTTAAGGCACCAGCACCAGGACAGAGGGGCTGGAACAGCCAATGAGGCCATCAGATCTTTTCTACTGCTTCTTTTAGAGCCTCTGTAGATAACTGCTTTCATTGAGACAGGGTAAAAATATTTCCCAAAAGAGGTTAGATTTCAGTGAACTTCTGGGAGTTCAACATTTACGTTACCTAATATTCATTTCTACTTTTCTATCCCAGAGCCAGGCTGATTTAATTTTCACTTCACACAAACTAAAGAGAGGAGGAGAGTCATGCAGCCGGCACTTTTATGGGTCTTGACTGACATGTGGCCCAGGGCCCCTCCCACCCTGGTTTTCTCTTGTCTCGTCTCTGTTTCTCTTTATGGTGCGTGTGGCAGACAGATGTGGCGATATTTTAACAGCTGGAGAAATGGTGTCAGATTTGATGATTGAAAGCAAGAGAACAATTTTCACAATTAATAAAGCATAAGAACTTGGTCGAAAGGGAATAAGGTCAACTTGTAAGAATAACATTGAAAGGCATGAGAGGACATTTAGTAACCCTTGAGAGACAGACCTTAAGAAGACTTCTCTGACAGCAAGAAAAATAAAGAAACAAAAGAGTAAATAACAGGAAATGAGATTTCTTGAGACAATGAGCCAAGGTGAAGGCATTTACACTAGTGTGAGTGATTCCTATTCCAACCGTTCGGGGTGTAATAGAAAGAAGAAGAGTAATCTATAAAGAGAGATGGATTTAAAGGAAAAAAAAAGAAAATTGCTTCCAGTCCTGGCTCTAGCACGCAACAAGTAATAAATTGATGAAGTGACTGCACCTTACTGTTCCTTGATTTGTTCATGTGTGAAAAAGAAGCGACACCTTCCTGACTGCCTCCCAGCACTGTCATGTGTGTAAACAACAACAACGACAAAACCTACAAATAAACGCACAGACAGGAGTGGATGCCCATGGAAGATTAACAATGCATTGCAACCCTTAGGTATCTATTATAATTATTCTCTAAAGTGCTGGCAAGGGTTTATCAGTCTGGGTGTTGGGAAAAGCAGTGATGGCATTTTTATGACCCAAGTTACAAAAACAGTAGGCTGGAACATGTAAATCAACTTCCTAAAATAGGCACAAACTGGACTCAGACTGGACAGGAGCATATCATCAGGTGGCAAGGTTTATTTACCTTCCATCAGTTGGGAGAGTATCAAGGGGCAGGGTGGATCAGTGGAAATAGAACTGGGGAACAAAATAAATTTGGGACCAGTGCCGGCTCCTTCACTAACCATGTGACTCTGGGAAAATAACATTCCTTCCCTCTGCCTTCAGGTTTCTTAACCGAAAAATGGGTAAAATAATGGGTATAATAATACCTCTCTAGCAAGGTAAGTATATGGATTAAATTAAACCGGATAATACTATGAAGTGCCCAGTGTAGAGCCTGGTATGCAGGTGGTACTCAATAAACGTGAGTTGTTATTATCGCATTTTCTCAGTTCCTTTCATAGCCTACACATCCATTTGTCTGCTCTCCCTCTTCCATTTCTTTCCTGGGTACTGTCAGTCTTATAGCCTGTATCTACCAGAGCCGCCTAAGATTTTTCAAAAAATATTTATGTAAATTACATCCTTACTCCAATAAGTCTATCCTATTATAATAAAGTCACTCATTCTTTATCTTATGTTGAAATTATTTCATTGATCCTATAAAGATGTCCTATAAAATTTAGTATGTAAACACGTAGGATGCCTGACACAACTGCTGACTCTTAACTCATTACAATATGGAAGAACACTGAACAAAAAAGACATTCAGAGAAACTTTCTAATTTCCTCACCCCATTTCTTCAGTGTAACACCAAAACCAAGTATTCAGTGAAAATATTACATTTTATTTTCCTGGGTGGAAAAGGATTAACACTAAACAATTATGTCTGAAAGTTATTACTACATTATATATGTATGTGTGTGTGTGTGTGTGTGTGTGTGTGTGTGTGTATGTGTGTGAATGTTACTCAACTTCTTCTCTTTTAAAAGAAAGAAAAGCCTTTTTTATTTCCCTTCTCCTAAAGAGGTTGGTTGGCCTTCCTGGTTTAGTGAAATCCTACTTATCCACTTAAATGTGACTTTTTCTGGGAATTCTCAGATTACATATGGGCCCTCCCTCCATACCCTAATACCAAGTAGAAATAGTTTATCTTTCCCACATACATCACAACGTTATGTTTATACCATTGGGTACCTTTGCAATCTAATCTATACCTTCTCCATGTTCCCAAGACATAGCACAATATTTGGAATATGGTGGACACTTGCATGGATTTTGATAGAAGGTGTGGATGATCAATCCTCTCTTCCCCTTATTTCCTATTCGTTCTTTCTTAAAAAGTTTGCAGTGTGTCAACAGTGTGCTGCTATTTTAGGAGTTGGAGAATTGGGTCAGATCTGGGGATGTTGTTGGAGGAGAGACAGCCACTTGGCTTTCCCTTTCCATCTTCCTCAAGTTGCATTACTATTTTAATTATATCACAGAAATTTCCATTCCAATCTCAAAAACAATATTCTGTCAGCGTTACATTAGGAAAGGATTAATTTGAAACAATTCTTAAACATTACACTATCCTATAGCCATTTTCTCCAGGAATATCTTGGGGAATTTCTTTGACATTGTCATTATCTCCCCATGGTGACTTATAAGGCATGTTTAAGACAATTTTATATTAAAGGACAGAGATTCCAATAGAGGCAGCTGAACTTTTGTAAAGTTTATAGTGTGATTAATTCCTGGAGTTCTTCATTCTTCATCCCTTTAATTCATGCAATCACATTGAATATTCAAAGTATATATTGCTGTTTAAAGTCTTTCAAATACTCTGTAGACAGTCACATGGTAACTCAAAAGTAGAACTGATTAACATTTCCCGCCACAAGGATCCTTGAAGGAAACTGAAAACAAAAACTGTATCTTTGTTGAATCCAGTTTGCTTACATTTCAACACACATGACTCCACTTAACTGGCCATCACAGCAAAAGCCACAACACACACACACACACAGCAGCATGGAGCTAACCACACAACTCAACAGACAATGCAGACAAACTTGAGTATAAACCAAGATTTTTCTACCTCTTTTCATAACAGGTTAGTGCTGGCCCTCAGTGTTGGTGTACAGTTTTTATGGCATGGGAAAATAGGGATGTTTCTGCCCTATAAAAATAAATGTGTTGAAGGCTTTAGTTTGAGCTTACACAATGTCAGAAAGTTCCAAAGGCACTGGCACAATACAGAAAAAAAAAAAAAAAAGAACCCCACAAACAAATATATATCATCAAAACACATAGCAAGATACTAAGAAAACACTGGTAGGAAAACTACTCGTTTCCCAGATGGTTTATGCAACAGTTTTCAATACCTTCTTGAAAGATAAAAACATAAGAGAAGCATGCTAGAGGGTCTTTGGTGGGGGATTTCTTGGCACCAACCACCATTTATAGCAAGTCTTTGGCTTTAAGCTGCTCAATAGATCATTTTCTCCTTGCAGAGGTAGAAAGCACAGAACCCTCATTGTTCTTAATCTTTTAAGCCCAAGGAAGAGCTAAGGGAACAAGCATAGAAATGCATGCACTATCTTTAATAAAGAAAGGGACACATGGAATAAATATAAAAATATAAAGAATAATTTTTATTCCTTCATTTGATATATCATAATATACACTTCTTTCCAAACTTTAGCTCGATACATGGAGTTGTTCATGTGTGACATCTTTTTCTAATCTAGAAAGGGATGCGACAGGAAGATAAGTAGGAAACATGAAGTTCTGAATTTGAACAAAAGCAATACTTTTGCTATTACATCAAAGCATAGAAGGTGGACGTTGGGCTAGAAATAGGGAAATTGGAAAAATTTCACTGGACTTAATGATTTGTAATTCCTCAAAAAATGAAACTTACCACATTCTGTGCAAATTTCTCAAGAGATGTTCTGCGATCCATTGAGTTTCCAGACTTACATGTGTGGGGTGGGGAAGGGTGAAGGGAAATAAAGGAACATTAAAAATAAAAAAGGAAGAAAGCAAGGAAAACAGAGCAGAAAAAGACAGGATGATGAAATGATGCAATGCCAAATCCATGTTCTAAATCACAGGGCCCAAGAAGGTAGGAGAACTGCCGAGGAAGGCCTTGGGCCGTGGGCTCTGTTTTCATCAGTGCTAATGCCAAAAACTCTTCTGGTACAAACAAAATGGTGTGATCTCAAGCAAAATCAAATTAAGCTGAAATGAATATATATGTGAATTTTTTATACTGATATCTGCAAAAACTAAATAGTTGAAACTTTAGTGGCATATCTTCAGAAATCCTTCATAATTTTCCCTCGGGGCTAACTTTTGGTTGATAACATCATTAATTCTATGAAGCATTGCTGTCTAACACAACTTTCTGAAAAGATGGAAATATCATTTTTTGCTGTCCAGTACAGACGGCTCTTGCCGTGGTTACTGAGCACCTGAAATCTGGCTGGAGTTTTATGTAATTTTAATTAATTAAAATTAAAATTTAAACTGGGGTCCCATGTGGCTAGTAACTGCTGCACAACTAGAGAGTATCTATTTCCAATTTGCAAAGGCAATGGACTTTCAAATATCTCATTAGTCTAAATAGCTGTGATGACTTACACAAAATTATAATTTAATCCCAGAATTTCAAGAAGCTATGGACTATTTTAACATTAAAACATAACGAATGCTGTTGATGCTTGTGTCCAGATTTTCCATCCCCTATTGATGACATAAGGAGTTATGAACAGTGAGACTTTGATTGTAAACATTAATTGAATAATGAGGTCTACTACAATGCTTTCAAAATGTGCTTGGCTACCATCTTAAGTGTGTAAAATTCATTGTTAAGATATTAAGTGATTTAGCGTAAGTGCCAAATGAAAGTATGCAAAAGCGAACGTGACTACTTTGGCAGCTGTCATTGAAAAAAATGTGTCTATTTTTAGTCATGAGGTCTGTGTCTCAAAACATACATTCTAACTTACTAGACAAAAAGAAAACCCTTTTTTAAGTTTTTGACCTAAACTTTCTTTTCTTTATGGTAATTTTTGATTTTCTTAAACTAAGCATACAGAAGACTAACATGAAACATGAAAATAGCTTCTAATAAACTTGTAAAGCATGAACATTAGAAGAAACAAACAAAAAATAATACAGTAAGCAATAAACAAACAAAAACAAAAACAACTCAAATAGCCCTTATAAAATGCAAAGGTTTGAGGGAGGGTCTTGGAATATGTTCACTTACCATTTGTCCAATACCCTGGGCTCAGCAGAGGTAATTACTCCAAATAATTACTACTGAGAACTAGGTCAAAAAAGGTCACAAAGAACCAATACCTTTTTCTTTGCCTGTAGAAGTTCCTGATAGGCACTGGATCTTATAAAACGTGGGTAGGAATCACTTTTCATCAGTTTGTAAATGTGCTCCTAAAAAGAAATAACGATTGAGGTGCTTCTGTATTATTTCTCGGGAAAAATAAAATATAATGATAAGAATATTACATGGGGTTAAAGAACAAATCTGGTAGTTGCTAAAAATGGTGATGATAATGCTGATGGGAATACCTTATGTTTACAGGATACTTAGACCTTCAAATTCATTGTCTCATTCATGCCTCAGTGTTTAAATTTGTTTGAAAGTTACCAAGGAGGTAAACCACACCCAGCCATTTAAAAGAAATGGAATTTGGTTAAAAGAATGGCATAAAATAAATTCAGATCAAGCTACTGATTTATATAGATCAGCTGTGAATATAAATAAATCTGTTATCTCTTAAAATTACGCCAGTCCAAAAGCAGATGACGTGAAGTTCAAGACTGAGTCACCATCCTGGATACCTTTGGCCTCTGCATTTACTGGGAGGGGGCAGATGGCCCGGATGAATGATCGCTTTGGTACAAATTTTATGGAAAATTGTCATCCACAATCACTTTGGGTCAGAGCACAAGTCCAAAAATAAATTTTGTGCTATTTAATTGCTAAATCTCCAAATTGGTGTACTTTTGATGTATTCAGTGACAGATTAGGTAAATATTTATTTAATCATTCACCTCTATGAAGTCTGCAATGTTCTATTTTGATGAAGAATGTTGGTAGACAAAGAAGTCAGAGGAAAAATATATATTTATCCAATTCAGTGTTGGCCCAATTTAGAGAGATTCTGCTCTGTTCTACTGCAGCTCAGGAGAGCTTAAATGCTCCTTGATCTTCCTAGTGTAGTGAAATATCAGTTAAATATAGAGTTTTGAACTATTTGAGAGTGTCCTGGATGTCCCAATTTCTTTTTTGTTTGAAGAAAATACCTATTTTAAGAAATGACTTCATTTCTCTGGTTTGAAACACACCAGAAATAATTTGAAGTTACTGTAATCCACTTAGAGAAATTCAGGATTAAGCCTCAAGATAGCTCAAGGTTGATCTTCAAGAGTATGTTAAGTTTGGAACTGTTTCAGAATTTGTCTGGAAAGGGAGCAAGGTTTGGTTTTGGAGTTAAGTATTTTGGGATTCAGATCCTAACTTGCTCAAGATCTACCACTTACAGTGTAAATTTAGACCAATTTATTCACCTCTTTGATCCTTAATTTTCTAATCTACAAAATAACGTTGTTGTGAGGAGTAAAGAAATAATAAATCCCGAGTATGGGGTGTGCATAGTAAGTGCTCAAATATACTTCAGTACATACCGTGTACCCTTTTAAGAGTTTGCCTGTATTGGTTAATTTAATCTTGACAAAACCCTGATGAAGTTGGTAACCATTAATATGTCCATTTTATATATGTAGAAACTGAGGAATGGAGAAGGAAAGTACTTGCAGAGGTCTCAGAGCAGAGCTCAGATAAGAATCTAGGCCATTTAGCTCCAGATTTTTCTTTCTTACGACATTGCATCTCTTCTCAAACAATGGGAGAGATTCCTATTATTAATCTTTGAAGATAGGATTTCATAAAAATTACAAACAAAAAAACTAGAGTTAAATATCTGAGCTTAACTGAAAAAGAAACCTAGTGTCAGGTGCTAATGTTCTCTATAGAAAATATTTCTTATTCACCTTTTGGGGACTCCATTACGTAAGAATATTTTGAAATGACACAGATAACAAAGAAATGCTCTCTTTCAGGCCTCTGAAAGGACATTCCAAACATTTTACACATTGTTGGCTCTAGAAAAAGGCTTGACATTTTTACCTTGAACTGAAAGAAAGGAAAATTAGCAGAGACATGATCAGCAGAATTTCTGCCCTGCTCTGTGTCATGTGTCTGCAGAATGCAATTATTTCTACATAGGAGACCATGGCTAGACCACAAGGGATGGGTGTCTGGTTAGCTTTTAAATCCTTACTTTTCTACATAGTCACTAATTTCTTTAAACCAAAGCCAAGGAGAGATGTATTTTCTACAGAGAGTGGAAACAAGAAAGGACATATGCGTATCTTACTCTTCAGCTTCTATATTTTATTTTGGGAGTGCTATTAATTAAAAAATAAGATAATTTTTAGAGTTAATATTCTTCTTCAAAAGAACTTTAAGAGATCACAAAGTATGCATGTTTTGACTTAAAAGCCAACTTCAACTCATCATTAGGAAATGCTATCCTCTCATTACATGTGTATTTTTCTTCTTGAACACCAATATTTTTTTGAGAGAAAGCAGAAATCCAAATTGTTTCTAAGAAGGCAGCTAAGATCCAGTTTACAAAAAGAACACTACAAAATTTGTCTGAGGAAGTTAAAATAAATTTCTTTTTTTTCTTTCCACAGACTAAAAAATTAACTTGAACGATTAATCGATACCTGAATCTACTATTTCTTTTTTTCATCAGAAACAGAACTGGTTTGAATTTGACATAATTTTAAGCTAATTCAGTTCAGACAATTTGTTATAATGAATAATTTAGGAATGTCAAAAGTTTTTGAACTTCCATACTGAAGACACCTTAAAGATTTTAAACATATGTTTCCGACTCGGGGTCATTATTACATAGGGTCTGCTCACATATTGGGGGACAAAGAGGAGAAAATGAAGTAAAAGTTTTCAAATATTTCAAACATGCCCCCTTAGGAAATTCTTATATAAAAACACTCAAATTCAGAAAACATTTCCGGGCTTTAAAAAACTATTCACTTTAAAGTGTCTTTGTTGTTTTCCAGATCAGTTAGAGTATTTTACAGTTACCTAAATTGGAAATGTTAGAAATAGCTGCCAATTATAACGAAAATAAAACTAAAGTATCTCAACTGGCAACTTCTCAAGAACACAACTGCGATATGAGGGCCACCCGCGTACCAACCTGAGCGTCTTCGAATGTGTATCGCCCCGGTTCCTTCACATTCTGTGTGGTTTTGTCATAACTCTTAGAATCCAAGTTAATGGCACTGGGAGCTCCCGGAGCCAGAAATTCTTGCCATATTTCCTGGACTCGCAAGGGCACTTCTTTAATCGGCCTTTTCTTGAGGTCCTCCACTGCCAGCCAGAACCTATGCCACATGTGACACCAAGGAGTTACTCGGAGGGCTCATACTCTGAACCTTCTCATGATATTTACTGATCGCACAGCTCATCGTGAGGCCTAACAGCTAACTCACTTTCTCTGAGGGCTTCCAATGTCAGACCTACACTGATCTTTTTACCCATTAGTTGTATTTAAAGGTATAAAATTCTTCACAAGAAAAATAGTCTCGTTTAAGTGTTGGTTGTTAAAAGGAGATCTGCCAGGGCCCTGTATAATTTTAATTTCACAGAAGAAAAGAAGCACTGTTAACCATTTATTAAAAGGGAGGAGGGGTTTGAAGGGCTAAAGGTATGGGATCCACAGCATCCGACAGGGGGGACAAGGTAGTGTGCTACACTGTGTTCTTTGGATCCTTTGTCTATTTGAACAATGAGGGCTACCATGGAGAAACTTTTCTGCTCTACCTGGTAAGGGAATAATTACTAAGAAGATCTACCGAAGTTAAAAGAGGCCTGGACACAAGATCAGAAAAATGCCCTGGCTGGAAAAATCAGGACAATTAACCAACTTTAAGCTATTTAATCAAGAGAGTCATGGAATGACAGAAGCAGCATGCTTTCAAATGCAATTCTTTGAAAGACTCAAGTTCACAGAGGTGTCACAGCAATTCAGAAGTCATGGAGAAATATATACTGACTTACTTCTAAATGTATCCTTGTATATAGAATATATTTACTGAAAGAACATGAGAACCATGTTTTGGTTGACAACAGCAAACAGCAAAGTCTAGTGGTCAGGTGCCACATTGTATTAATGGGCTGCATTTCTTTAAATTTTGCTCTAGGTTGTATTTTTTTGGTTAGGTCTAGAAATAATGTTGAAAAGATAAATGTGCATATCATGATTTGTTAATAGAAAAAAAAATCATACTTGAAAAATGAAATGCTAGCCCTACATTATCCTCTGTAGGCACTGTCATTGCTCTACTAGTACCTGCATTCAAGACATGGAGAGGATGACACAGAGACACAGGGAACTTCAGGCCACAGAGTCTTAAAAAAGGCACAGGTGACAAGCAGTACCTTTGTAACTGCTAACTTTTAACTTAGACATTAATAAAGGGCCAGAAATCAGCAATGAAAGCACTTGAACTAGAATTAGAATATCAAATACTACTCAGTCTAGTGATTTCTGAGTTTTCATTTCCAGATTTTGTCTTCCTACAGATATATATATAACAGATAATCCAATTTAGACACTACTTTAAATATGAAACTACTATTATGAGTTCTAGAAAGGAAGGCTCAAGACCACTCCCCCTTAAAACACAGATTTGAACACTGTGCACTCTAACAGGACTACCATGTGCAATCCGAGGGAACATGTGTGCTGCATGTAATACGTGCTCATTCAAGTTCATTCCAGCACTTTCTGGACACATTAATCCAAAGAAAGTCCCCATCCTCAAAGAACAACTAGAAAAAAAGATATGCCCTTCAGATGCCCATAATACCAGGAAGCACATGAGAGGCTCTGTAGGAAGAGAATAAGCTGAGTGGTCTGGGAATGCCCAGCAGGACAGAATCCTTCTGCTGGGGCAAGTGCTGGCCTGGAAAAGGGGGGAAGGGTCTAGAAAAGCTCTTATAAATGCAGTGACATCTGAAACGGACCTGCAAATAGGGATAAAATATCAAAAGGCCGATAAGTTAGTAACAACAACACCTACACGGATATGTAGGTGCAGCCACTGCTCCAAGTGATTTACCTGTACTAACTCATTTAATTCCCATAACAACTCTAGAGAGTAAGTTCTATTATTTCCCCCATTTTAGAGAGGAGGAAACTGAGCATATGAAGATAAGTGACTTATTTAAGGTTGCCTGTTACTGGTAGTGGCATAGCTGGAGTTTGCCCCTGGCTAATCTGCAGCAGACAACACATTCATATCACCCCCTCACACTGACTCTCAACAGCACCATTGCCTTTCTCATCCTCGTCATCATTGGAATCACAGCAATAACTTAATAGAATGTCAATGGCATTGGTTAAAATCTCACCCCCTTTATTTCATAGTAGCGGGAATTTTTAAATTCCAGTATTTTGTTTTTTTTTAATTTTTAAATTTTATTTATTTATTATTATTTTATACAAATGTGACTATTCTAGGTTTATTTTTCTCTTTTATAGTTTCAAATAAACTTTGAAGATTTTTCCATATATAGATCTGGCTCGATGAGCTGCACTGTTTTTCATTGTAGGAAGTTGTCATCAAAAATTATTGTTCCTCCTCTAATTATTTTGACATTTTTGTTACCACCAGAATCAAAGAAATAAACATTGTGCATATGTTTATAAATATAAAAGGAACTATACACATAGAGTAAATTACTAGCAGCGAAATTGCCAAATTATTTCATAAAATGTATAATTTAAAAAAAATTTTTTTAAATTTTAGAATATTACAGGGGTACAAATATTTTGGTTACATAAATTGCTTTTGTACCATTTGAGTCAAAGTTATAATGGTGCCCATCCCCCAGACGGTGTGCATTATACCCATTAGGTGTGAATTTGCCCATCCCTTTCTCTCCCCTCCCTCCTGTTTGATTTCTGATAATGTTATTTCCATATTTGCACATAAGTGTTGATAGATTAGTTCCAATTACTGGTGAGTACATGTGGTGTTTGTTTTTCCATTCTTGTGATACTTCACTTAGAAGAATGGGCCAGAATAATACAAAAGACATTAGTTCACTTTTTTTTTTATGGCTGAATAGAACTCCATGGTATACATATACCACATTTTATTAATCCACTCATATATTGATGGGCACTTGGGTTTCCACATCTTTGCAATTGCAAATTGTGCTGCTATGAGTATTCGGGTGCAGATGTCTTTTTTACAGAATGTCTTTCTTTGAGTAAATACCTAGTAGTGGCACTGCTGGGTCAAATGGTAGGTCTCTTTTAGTTCTTTGAGATCTCTCCATACTACTTTCCACAGGGGTTGTACTGCTTGCAGTCTCACCAGCAGGGCATGAGTATTTTAGTGTCTTTGAGTCTTAATTTCCTTATCAGTAAAATGGAATGGTTATGCCTTATTTCACTGGGTTTCCATTGGACGAAATGACGTAAATTATGTAGAGGGCACTGCAGAGTGCTTGGCATATTTTTAGGGACTTGATGATTAAAAAAAAAATAAATGTATTACTGCATTTGCTTCGTACTTGCTCTATGCTAGGTGTTTTGCCTGGAAAAGGAATGAGTAAAAACACACCAGTGGAGAGCAGAGTCATATGTTGGGCATAAGCAGTATTTCATGACTCTTTTTCCTGTCCTAATATTTGAAGAAAATGCTCCTATGAGTGACATGCTGCCATTAATAGCAAGGTCCTTAGAAAGCTGCTGCTTAGGTAAGATGCACTGAGAGTTATTTATGTGTATGAGTTATTTATAGTCAACAGCCCTGTTGACCAGCTGAACCATTTTGTGTCCCTCAGTGTGTGACATGAATACATAGGCAGAAGCAGAGTGGGACTCAGATTTGGGGGACAGTGGCCAGCAGCTTAGTACTGGTTTATAGAAAACTGAGAGTGCCACTTACATGCAGTCTGACCTTGCACAAGGTGCTTAACCTTCCTCAGACATATTTTGTTTATCTACAAATTGAGGCAATACTATTTACTTTTCATGTTTATTGTGATGGCTCCATGCGGGCCAATCAGAAATAATGAATACAAAATATAGCATAAGCATGTCTATAGAAGTAATGGATGCTAAATATATTCTGTGTGTAGTAAGTGTTGAAGAATTATATCTACATTTATATCTCTCTATGATTTATCTATTTATACTAAGTAAGGAAACATGATAGGCATATAGTAAATTCTTAAGAAATATATGTGTGTGTGTACACATACATAAGAAATATCTGATGTTTCTGATATGTAATTACTTAGCAGGGAGACTAGTGAGGCATAGAATTATTAAGATAAGAAATGGTTTGAATTAAGGGATTTGCAATGATTCAATGCGTGCATGACACAGAGTAGGCACATGCTCTCCTCCTTGACTCAAAGCTTCTTCCCTCTTCCTGTTTCCCTGGTTATCTCCTCCTCATCACCCAGTTCTCCGCCTAGAAGTTATTTCCCCTCGTGTGCCTTTGCTGATCCCACTCTGGGTTAGGCATCCCTTTGTGCTTCTCCTATGTAAACATCCACGATTTTGTATTGTGCTTTGTTTTCTTGCCTGTATCCACCACCAGACTGTAATTTTAATGAGAGCAGGAGTTGCTTTCATTTGGTTACATGATGCTGGCTTATTACTTGTTTATTTCCTTATCATGACACCCATGCTGTCAGCATCTTTTACAAAAGAGACACATTTGTCAATCTTTTACTTAGAGACTGAGGGGTAAATCCATCTCTGTGTCCACTAAAATACCTACAGTACCTACACTACCCTTTACCTCTGCTTTGCTTTTTATTTTTTAGCATCCTTGTACTCAATCGTTGATGATGTGAGCCCAATATACAAAATGTCATTGAGTAGGCCCAATGGAAATCTTTAACAGCTGTAGACCTTGCGCAAGTTCCGCCAGGATGGGTGCCCATAAACTTGAAAGAGAATAGGAAGCTGCACCCCACAATCCATGACAGGTGCTCATAGAGAATTAAACTGCCCCAGGTTGTGTCTGTGACCATCTTGCTGCATCCATGAGACATATGTCAACGTCCTACATAGTTCTGAATGGTTCGTTATTGGCGTCCGTTAAATCTCCTGAAATGAATGTGACAATGCCTATCGCTGCTTCTTTCCAAAGAAAACAAATGAATGCTGAGACCTTTCCGTAAATGAATTTTACAGGACTGCATAAGTCATGAAAAAGTAAAAACAGGATATCAGGTTTCAAAAGAATAATGAATGAAAGAGCTCCTGGAAAAACAGTTTTATGTAGTGGAAAGTTATTACTCACTTTAATGATCATAAATAGAGCTATTAAAATCCACTCTAATGTTTCATATTTAAAAATGAGTTTTCCAGGTGCCCCTTAAGCTAGCAAATTTCAAAAACATATAAGGATGATGTTGACAAAAAGCTGGGCAGAACAGGTGCCCCGTCCCATGAACAGCTCAATATGGCGCTACTCCCAATTGCCCTGTGGCTGTATTTAAATGTGTCAAGTAAACGCGTTGCCCCAAGAGTTTTGTCTTGAATTATTTGATATAGGTGCCCAGTCTCTTCTTCTCCATTGCACTTGAGAAGTGATATGCAAACAAGGCCAATGTTGATAAATAGGTGATATTTTAAATTAACTGCATAGATATCATTGGCCATTCTCCACTTTGCCAAACATTAGTTTAAATACTGCACTTCTTTATGGAGTCCATTTCAAAAGCACTAAATTTATAGAGTCAAAAGATCCAATGACAGTGTAAAAATAAATTATTATAAGGAATTGATATATTGGATAGCCTTTGCCTTGGTTATTTTTTTTCCCTTTCATTAGGTGGCAGAAACTCAATGAGTTCATATCATCATGTTGGTGGGAGAATAATTAATTGGTCTATTAAGTCCAAAATAACCAGACACACCATAGATAAAGTCTCTGTGGATTATAGTATAAGATGTAAGCAACATGACTTACCTTAAATTTTCTGAGCTGAATTCTGATTCTAGAAATTTAAGGAACTGTTCTCTTCCAACTGGGTCTTTTAATGCCTCGTCCATGCCAAAACCCCACCGTTTTACCCTCTGCTGGCTCGGTTCTTTGCTAGAGGAGATAAAACAAAGCCGAATATACTCCTTTCATTAGAATTCCTAGCTTGTGTTATTACATTCCCCCTAAAAATCATGTGTCTCTTGAAGTTTTCATCTTTAACTTATGTTTCAGAAAAAAAATATACTTCTGTCTAATGGCTCTGCATGAAATCTTAGTGAGATATAAGTTAGATATTAATAATACAGTCTAACATTTATTAAGTTTTAGGTGCTAAGTAATAAGGGGCAAAGGTCCAGACATTTTGGTTCCAATTCTGCATTTCTTAACCACTACACAATGCAGTGTGATGGACGTATGTTGTATGGGAGAAAATGCATTGGTAACCAAAAGGCCTCAATACTAGTTTATGACTCTGGTGTCAAATAAACGTATGAACTAGTCCTGATTGAGTCGAGACACTTTGGGATTCTGGCTTCCTCATCTATAAAATCTTTAACTTGTACATGAAGAATTCTGGACATGTCAAGTGTTTAAGATCCATGGCTGGATGTAAAAGAGACAGTCCATAAATGCAATCTACAGAAGTGCTACAGGGTACTAATCCTCTCTTTGTAAAGTGATATGCAATGAGCTATACTTATCATATAATTCTTCCCTTATATAGAGCTCCTGAAAGAAACGAGGGAGTCCTAAATTGTGCTTTGGTTTCCCTGAGAAGTCAATTTCTTGTCAGTTTCTCTTCAAGTGTTTATGGTAAGTTCATTTTGTTTTAAAACTGAATTTATAAAGGCATAGCATTGGGCTTAAGCATGTATAGATTTAGTATTCATTTTACTTGAGTACATAGGACTTCGTGGCTATGTGGATTTTCAGGGAAGCTAATAGCAATGAACTAAATTTCAAGAACCGAAGATCTCGACTCTAACGAATCCATTCTGAAACTCCTGCACACCTAATTTTGCCCAGTCAATGCAAATCTTAGTGCAGATGTCTAAGGTTCACAAACCATTATCTAAAACAAGAGCGTTATATCATGAGCCAGTGTAGACACAGTAAAATTACACTTACAATTAACCAGCTATATAGTATTCTTCCTACTTTACTCAGACCCTGAAATAAAGTCATATATTTGAGAGATAAAATGCCACCTACCTTGCTTCAAGTTCCCAGAAAGTAGTATCATCAGATAGCCACGGGTTAGAAGGATCAGGTGGCACAAGAAACGGGTCATATTCTACATACTGTTCTGTATAACTGAGTAGACTAGGGAGAAAAAAAAAAAAAAAAAAAACATTTTCAATTTCCTTAGTTTTCTGACTAGGGTTCCACTCTATCCAAAGTAAGGGACACAATATAAAAATGTCTGACCAGGGAATCCTTGCCCACTTATAGAATGATATCCAATGGCAACTTTTACATTTCAGTAACGTGCATGCAACAACACCTTGTGCTTCTTGGCAGACGTATGGCCAAGGATTCCATATCGCCCCATGCCTAAGCCATGCAAGTCAATAGCTCTTTGTCAGAATAAAGCAACATGGAAGAGGTCAGTGCGTGAAAAGAAGCGCTAAGGGTCGGTTCCAATCCTTGTTTAACCAAGTCCACCCAGAGCAGAACTGATTTTAACCAACTTGGAGAAGGCATTAAAAGGGAATTTTTGCCAAAAATCTTTATAGGAATTAGATAAAAGGGGAGCCACTGACAAAAAAATTTAAAAGTCTGTATTTAAATTTCAAAAATGGAGAAGGAATTAGAAGTTGGAGAGGTAGGATTTGGCAATGTCCAAAAGTGACGAATATGAATGACATTAAGAACAGATTTAAATGAAGAGAAGGAAAACATCTAAAATCTTGAGTTTCATTCAAATTCTGAAGTCATGCAGTAACAGTTGATTGTGAATGTTAAAACAAGTCTGCAGAGAGGCTCCACGTTGCCCAAGGGTAACCAGTACGTTGAAGGCTTCATTTCTTCCAGCAGCAGTGAAAGCACTCAACTCTGTGGAATTATGCTCTGAATCTGAGTCTTGGTTGCACAAGGATTGGACTTCTAGGCATTGAAGACAATAATGATAATTTTGTCATTTAAACTACATCAAAAGACTTCTTTGAACGTTTCTATGTGCAAAAGGAAAAACAAAATCACATTATTTACGGGATTCCAATTATTTATCTCAGCTCCTCTCCCAACAGTTCTCTTATCATTATTTTTAATTTCAGCACATTATGAGGGTACAAATTTTAAGGTTGCGCATAATGCCCTTGCCCCCCTCCCCCCACAAAAATTTTCAGTTTAAATGGGCATCTTGAAATACTCACCTATCAGCAACTTTTGACATTTTTAACCGATGTCTATCTAACTGTATTTGCCAATATTTTATCTGAAAAGGGGGTTAGAGAAGTAGTTCCATAAGTAATGACATTCTCACAATTTTCAACTTTAAATTTTGACAGACTGAGCAATTCTGAACAAGAGTATATTCTAAGTAAAATTTCAAAGTTGGTAAAAAAAATAAAAGGAATGGGCTCTTAAAAAGGAGTTAACCAAAAAGTTTCAATGTAAATATAAATGATATTGCTTTAGAAGAGCGATGAGTTTGAACATTCTGCCTACATTAACAAAATGTAACTTTATTTTAAAAGTGTTATGGAGATTTAAAATGTTTATTCATGACGAAAACCTAAATCCAGAATCAAATGTATTTATTATTTGTTACTGTAATTTCAAAAATAAATCCTGCCTCTAATACTAGTAAAGCATCAATAATATGTGTTTTGAGAATAATTATATCAGCAATTCATGAAAAATGCTCACATGGACATAATTACACACAGGAAACTTTAATTAAAAACTCTCTGAATTAATTTCCCTTCATGGTGATTATAAATATACTAGAAAATTATATATTACACTCTTGATAAACCATATTAAAATATTCGGAGGAAAGAGTCAAAAGGGCAAAAAAGACATTACTAAGGCCATCAAGAGATTTAACTATTACTTGATATAAGAGAAACTGGAGTTTGCTTTGAAATATTACTTGGAGCCAAAATTATTGGTCAATTGTTAAAAACAAAAAGCAGTATACATCATCACTGTACACCAGTGCTGATAAGGAAAAATTTCCACAGGTGTAGAGAAATCAGAACTGTAGAAAACAAGAATAAGTGCTCTTTTATGAGGATAAAGTCACATCATTGGATACAGGAAATGTGTGACCCAGTACTCCCAACATCTTGTCCCCTCATGTTTAAGACAGAATTCAGGAGTACAAAATAACTATTGATGATGGAGTCACATATAAATCAGTGTATGTGATTTTTAAAAATTGGTTAAAGGAAAGAGGATTGGGGCAAAGAGTGGAGAGTTTTAAAACCACTACTGTATATTGATACATTTTCAAGTAAGCATATGTCTTAAAATTAGATAATTTCTTTATCTTTTAACTGCAAATCTTCTATATGAAACAGTTGACCATACAACCTTTTAAAACATCCACTATTACCATTCACTATCTTTGGTCTCCATAGCTATTACTCTGTAAACCTTTAATAGGTCATGTTACAGGTTGACTCACCTGTTGGTGTAACTCATCTTCTGTTGGAGGTTTAGTTTCCGGTGTGGGTGTGTGGGTAGGACTGTGACTCCTAATATCATTTTGTAAACCATAGACAGACTATATTAAAATAAAAAAATAAACATTTTAGGACAAAATACTATTTATAGTCACAGACTTCCTAAAAAATAATTTTATATTATAAATTCAGTAAGGTAACTCAAAGCTTATTTGAATAACCTTCTTGTAAAAATTCAAAAGCCATTACTATCATAAATATCACAGGTATGTAAAAGAGAGACACAATGCTTTTAAGAAATATGTGGTTAGATTATTAACTTTCACATAATAATTGATTATATGTAGAAAACATGGTGAGTGTGATAAAATTTGGAAGTAGACTGAGAATGCTAAGTTGGAGAATGTCAACACTAAATAACATTTAATAAGCATCAATTTAAGAAAAAAAATAGGCATGGATATAGAATAGAATAGAAATTTAATAACCCCCCAAAAGATTAAAAAGTAACCTAATTTTTACATAGGAGCGGAATGGAGTACTGCAGAAAGTGATGAGGTTAAGAATTCTATTGCTGATTTTGTTTCTGATAGTGTAATCAAAGACATCCCAGATTGCTCCCACCTTTCCATAGCAGCATTGGGTTATTTGTTTCACAATACCGGCCTTGCCATTGGGTGCCACTTGCAAACATCAGTGACCCCAAAGGCTGCACCTATTTTTGGAATTCTTGATGCCCCAATTCTTCTTTATTAATTTGTGAAAAGGTCAAACCTACTAGCTTTAGGAAGACTCTTTTTAGAGAATGACCTATTGCTTAGTAAGTATAAATAAACATCTGGTAACTAAAAGGATTAAAAAAAACTACCCTCAACAAGCTGTGGAAAACGCCTTTCACAATTTCACACCATTCTCTCTCCAGGCATCTTTGCTGCTGGCTTAAACAAGCTACTGTTAAGAGGGCAAAATTGTGTAGATAGTTTAGGTGCATACTTTGATTAATTGCACTGCTTTCCACTTGTGATATAATAAACTATACTTTTGATTCAAAATCAGACATTTCATATTTAATGACCTTAATATTAAAATTAGACAAGGGTAGATCTAGATGCTTATAGGAGTTCATTTTCAGGCCTATCATCAAAACATGTCAGTATCTCTAAATTCAAATATATTTTGTTCCTGTTCTGCTTTCACTTGGCCCCAACATCCTCTTAACATTGCCTCTTAGCTTTATATCTGGATCCTTTGACTTGGCTTTTTCCTGTGTCTCCCCATTATTTTGCACTTAGACTTTCTTTAACAGATTTTGACAGTTTAACCATCGAGATTATCTGATTCTGTACTATCTTGAGTAGGGCCCTTCAAGCCCCCATTTTGTCCTAACACCAAGCCTTTGGAACCCAATTCCCACCACTAGTCATCCATTGCAACACAAGGACTAGCATGTGTGCTTTGAATTCACTGTTAGCAGGACTAAGCTGAATGGCTTAGACTTGCTCTTTTCTTTCTTTCCTTTGTTCTCTCATTCATTCATTCTATACTTGCTGAACACTTACTGTATACTGGGTATAGTACAAAGCAGTATAGAAATAGAAGTAAACAAAAGAGATACACTTTCTCCTCCATTGGAACTCACAACCCAGTGTAGAGGAAAGAAGTTAATTATAAAATAATCACACAGATAAATATATGATTAAAATTGTGATAAGGCATATGAAGAAAAAAGAGTAACAAGCATGGGGCCTGGAGTACAAAGACCTTTAGTTTATATTGAAGAAACAGAAATGGCCTAAATGAACTGACACTAGCCATGTTTCAACATGATTAAACAAAACAACCCTGTGAACTCTGAAATAACAGTTGAAGTTTATGTATTAAAAATTATGTGCTCTATGTACACAATGGAATACTTCTTCAGCCTATAAAATACAGGAAATTCTGTCACTGTCAATAACATGGATATACCTACAGGACATTATGCTAAGTTAGACAAGTCAGGCAAAGAAAGACAAATACTATAGGATCTCATTTATATGTGGAATATAAAAAAGTCAAAATCATAGAAGCAGAGAGTAGAGTGGTGTTTACCAGAGGCTGAGGGGTGGGTAATGGGGAAAAGAAAGAGTTTGGCCAATGGGTACAAAGTTACAGCTACATAAGAGAAATAAGCCCTAGTGTTCTGTTGTACAGCAAGGTGAATATTGTTAATACTAATGTGTTGCATTTTTCAATGTAGATAAAATAAAAGATTTTAAATGTCCTTTCCACAAAGAAATGATAAATATTAGAGGTGATGAATATGCTGATTACTCTGATTTGTTTATTCCCTGGTGTATATGTGTATTGAATATACACAATTATTGTTTGTCAATTAAAAATAAAATAAAACTAAAAAAAAGGCAGTGAAAGATCACCAATTATATAATAGTTGTACTTCCCAGTATTTTCTATTTCCTCAGGAGTATCAGATTAACTTTTGAAAAGGAAAATAATAAGACTATGAGACTTGAGCTTTCCATTCTTTTTTACCTTGGTTTAATTACTCACATGTTTAAAATAATAACCTGCAGGTTATGTTAACAGTGCCTATAATAAAAACATAGCTGACAATTTTAACAGTAAGTTTCTGGGCTAAGATTAAAAAATAAGTAAAAAGAAAGCTAGAAAAACACAGCAGTTGTGGTGGCATAAAAGCAAAATGATCCATGAGTTATCTTCTATCTCTATAGTTCTATAACTATTTCCACATTGGTGCATTTCACATAAGCGTCATAAAGGGCCCATATGAAAGCATAGCCCAAACCATTGGCAGGTGTTGCTTAAAGTAGTCTTCTAGGAGCCTGGCTTCTGGTTCTGAGGTTAATGTACAGTGTCCATTTTTTTTGTGTTACATAAAAGTAACCATCATGAGCTATCATTTTCATCAATCTGAGTGCAGTTCATTTCCTGGGGACCAATGATAGTTTTTAAACTTGATTCCTGGCTATAATGAAAACAGCTATGAAGAGTATAATTTTATATGTAGGGCTTATTTTATGGACAAAGAGATTGATCCCATTGTGGCAGGCAAGTTGTGAAGATTATTTGCAATGTGAAAGGCTTTGCATGTTTTAGCATAAGGAAGTGTATTAAAATAGTGGGACAGGGTGGAGTGGCACTGAGTTGGCAACAAGGCTAGTGAGGAAGAGAAGTGAAATCTTCTTAATGTCTTAATATTTGCAGCTGGAGGAAAATCAAATTAATTAAGTGGGATTCAGTTTTAATAGCAAAATCAATTACTTGATCTAGATGCTTTGACTTGATTAACATGTCCTTTTATTCCCCACGGTGTCTAGATGAGCATTTTTCATATATATAGCACCATCCAAATGAATACTGAGTAGGCTATTCATTACATGAAACAGATCTGACTTTCTGCATAACTCTGTTCGTATGTGATTTCCCTTCACATTTTAGAAGGAAACTAAGAAAAATTCTCCCCTACTTTTTTTTGGGGGGGTGGTGCTGTGAAGGTCTGAATGTTTGTGTCCCCCTAAAATTTATATGTTGAAAATCTCTCCCCACCCCCCAGCAATGTGATGGTATTAGGAGGTGGAGCTTTGGGAAAGTAATTAGGTCATGAGGGTAAAGCCCTTATGAATAGGATTAGTGCCCTTATAAAAGAGACCAGAGGGAACTTGCCCCTTCCATGTGAGTACATGGCAAGAAAATGCCATCTTCAAAGCAGAGAGCAAGCCCTCACGAGATACTGAATCTGCTGGCACCTTGCTCTTGTACTTCCCAGACTCCAAAACTGTGAACAATAGATTTTTGTTGTTTATACATTACCTAGTCTAAGGTATTCTGTCATAGCAACCAAAAAGACTAAGACAGAGATTTTAATATAGAAACTACAACGTGCAAGAAGCTTTTCTGCTTTTCTATGTGGAGTGCAATCTCTGGGATTTTTGTAACTGGGACTGGTGTGGAAATATTTCTCTTTTTTTCCTGGGTTGCTCATCTCAACTAGAGAATAGTTTGTGTCTCTGTCTGACACCACGCGGAGAGAGCCGGCACAGAGAGAGACACTGAGAAGAGAGGCAACCCAAAATGTGGGTTCAGTCACACACGTGCAGATGCTTTTGCCATTTCCCTCAGGTTTTGTGTTCTAGGACGCCTCTAGCTATTGTCCTGTAGAAGGATCCAGCCTGTGGTAGTAAATTTTGTGTCCACTTGGATGGGTCACAGTGCCCAGATATGGGGTCAAACATTATTCTAGATGTTTCTGTGAGGGTTTTTATTGGATAAGATTTAATATTTAAATTGGTGGACTTTTAGTAAAGTGGATTGCCTTCCATAATGTGAGTGGGTCTCATCCAATCTGTTGAAGGCCTGAATAAAACAAAGATTGACCTTCCCTGAGCAAGAAGGACTTCTGCCTGTAAATTGCCTTTGGCGTTAAACTGCAACTCCTCCCTGGGTGTCCAGCCTGCCGGGCTCCCTGATCAGATTTTGGACCTACCAATCCTCCACAATCATGTGAGCCATTGCCTTAAAATAAGTCTCTCTCCCTCTCTCCTCTCTCTCTGGGCACACACGTACAGGAAAGGCCTTGGAGACAAAGCAAGGCTGCCATCTACAAGCTGCCATCTTCCCCTCCTGGGAAATGAACTTGCCAGCATCCTGAACTTGGACTTCTAGTCTCCAGAACTGCGAGATAATAAATCCCTATAATTTAAGCCACCTGGTCTACAGTATTTTGTTAAGGCAGCTCGAGCAGACTACATAATGCTTAACAAAATCATATAATTATCCATATGTACAGAGTTTGTTTGCCTATTTGTTCAAAATCTGCACCCTTATTAGACCATGAGTCAGGGGAGCCTGGCCCTGCCTTTTCCCATCCACCGTGGAATATCTAAAGACTAACACGGGTCTGTCGGGTAGAAGAGACTCGCTTCTTTTGCTGACTGAATGGATCATTCCAATTCCTGACAAAAATATGAGCCAAAGTATAGGTGGTGATAATTCTAAAAGACAAATCAGTATGTGGCTTAGAGTCCTATAACCTTCTATGTAAAGTAACATTGTCAACTGTGGAGATTCTAGCAAATTCAACACTTCCAACTACGAGAAGCAATATTGATCAAAAGGTGAGAAAACCAGTTTTCTCCAACTGTGGAAAACAAGGGCATGCCTGCTCTGTGCTGCGGGATTTCTCAGAACTTCTGTTTTTCTCTGGTAAATTTTAGTGCTCTACAGCTCTGCAGTGAGGCCCCGTTGTTCTACCGTTATTGATCCCCAGGAAATGAGACCGCATCCTAGACAAAGACAGCTCCATCTGAGTGATTCCATTTCTTCACAGCATTTCACCTTGCGATGCCTCGAGGATTTCCCATCACTGAATGAGGGCTGATGGTATGTGAAGAACAACATTGTCAACTAATGCTTTTCAAATTTTTGAAAAGAAGGCTGCCATGGGAAGCACTGAGGAGATTATCAATACTGAACGCAGTGCCAAAAAGAGTGTGTAAACAACCCCTTTGTTGTGTTTAAGTGCCATCTTCTCAACCCATGTGCTTTCTCTTCTGCATCAGAGCACGTCTGAGTTGGTGTCTGTCGGGGGGATGTGACACCCAGTGACGTATTTTGAACAGAGACTCCTGACTATTCAGAAAGTGGGGAGAGGTGGCTTTATGCACTGTGGATTGCTGATGGCATTTCTGAATCTCACTCTGCAAAGCTGAGTGCAACCCGGTACACTCGGGACGTGCTGTGAGCAGAGGATGAAAGAGCTGAGCAGGGCGGGCCCAGGAGAACAGCAGAGGGGTTGCTTTGGTCTGGTTTTGCCTCCTTCCCCGGGAGAGTTCTCAGGGGCAAAGGCATTGGAGCCCCGCATCTGAGTTGGTTTTACAGAGCTTTGCCGTGGCTTCTTCATCCTAACATCAAGGTAAACCGACTTTAAAAGAAAGAAAAAGTACATGGGCCATCCTGGGCCTTTGAACATGAGGCTTTGTAGGGATGGAAGAAAAAGATGACACGAGATTGGGCTAGAAAAAAAAAAATGTTTAGTGGCTACTGCTGGGACACACAACTCTGGAGAACGCTATGGCTACTTAAGGAAAAAGAAGGCCGGGAACTTTGGGGAACGTGGGCCATGTCCTCAGAGTGACTGCTACAGGCCAGACGCTCTGAGGTGCATCAAATTTTTTTTTTATGGAATAAATAACTGTGTCGTCTACACGTACATGTTACTTTAAAATAATGTGGATATTATTGCTGTGCAGTTTCAAAGTGTTGTTTACAATGCCACTGAGTTCAGGATAGCTTTTCTCTCCCCCTTAGGTATTCTCTCACATAATAGACACTGAACATACAGCTACTCTCTTAGGGCTGTGTCACACAATTCTGAAGTTAAAAGGGGGCCTTTGTACTCTTCCTTTTGTAATTAAACATCTTTTAGGTGCGCCCTTTCCCTCAGACTTTTCCCTGAAAATGCCTTGCTCTCCTCAGTCTCTCTCTCTCTCAGGTGACCACCATCTTTCTCCCCACATCTCCTGGGCTCTGAGGGCTGCGCCCTGCCCTGTGAGGGGGCCTCAGCTTCCCCACTCCTCTCCTGTGGGAGCCAGTCAGCGCTGCCCCTCTGCCCGGCCCTGGCCTGCTCAACAATGGGCAGGAGGCTGTTTGTGGGGAGAGAGGATGACAGAAGACAAGGAAGAGCAGGGAAGAGTCTCATCGCGACAGGAGGAAAGCGTTTTTTGTGGCTGACGTCCCGAAAACAGTGCAACCCGTCACCAAGATCAGCACGGACGTCGGTTTTACCTTCCGCGTTTTGTGTGGGTTTCTCATTCTGGATGACTTCTTAATGTCCACTTCCGTAGTATTTACACACCCAGGCTGGAAATGGAAAAACAGAGAGACAGAGGAGTCTTTGGGTGTGGAGTTCTGACCAGGACATTCATTAATGACTCGCTCCCCAGAGCCTGAGCAAATGCCACAATGACACACATGACAGGCAACGCCTTCTGGGCGGCCGCAGCCACTTCCAGCAGCAGCAGCAGCAGCCAGTAATAAAATACACCAGCCCCTTTACTCACGTTGGAAAGCCTTCAGATACCATTCACAATAACTCCCAGAGAAACAGGGAAAGGGAATTGAGCTTCGCATGTGACAGCGAGTGTCAGTATTTACAGCTGCTAACCTGGCAGAGCAAGAGTGTCCACAGACAAATGGGACGACAGACAGACACCCCTGCTGGTAACTGCACACAGCCTCCCACAGAGTGTGTCCTCTTTATAAAACGCGACACTGTTATTGGGTGGCTGATTGCTTTTGCCACGTTGGAAAACTAAAATGGCATTTAGTTGAGCCCATTCAGATCCTAGAGTGAATTTTCTAGCACTGATTGTGAAGTCCAGGGACTGGGAATATTTGCTTTCCATAGACAGAATGTGCCATGGGGTCCATGGTTAAAATGAGGGAGGCCAAGAAAGAAAATGGTAAATAGTAGGCCATGCTTCTCCCCACAAATTCCCAACTTTCCTTTTCATTTCTCTAAGGCAGGCGAAACCCTTTAAAATGGGGAGTTGGAGGAAAAGTATGAGCTTTCTGACAACCTCAGGAGTCCCATTTTGCCAGAATTATGTTTCTGTTGCACAGAAAGAGCTGCAAGCTCCTTTTATATTTGTAGGAGGAGAGGAGGGAGAGAAAAAGAGAAGTGAGAGAGAGAGAAAAGGGAAAGGAGTGAGGGGAGAGAATACGAATCAGGAAACAGAGAATGCAGGGGGTTCAAAGATACGTGCTTTCGTAAATCTACAAAGGGCCTTAGATATCACTGATCCTTTAGAAGTGATTAGAAGTTAGTGGTTATGTACACTGTGTTTCCTTTTGGAACAGGATTTAGGAATCTCTGGTATTATTAATAGTAAAAAACATGGAGTTGTACATCTCAGCTCATTTTCTCTATTTCTTCCCACAGACTGCACGAAAATGAAAGCATTAGATGTCCTTGGAAGGCAGTCCAGAGAAACCATGAATGTGCAACAGTCTTTTGTGGATTTGGGATGGGGACGGGGGGAAGGACAAAAGGCAATGCTGATGTGATTAGAAGACTAAGCTGCTCTCCGCAACCACTGGCAAGCAAAGGGGCTCAGCTTTTTGTATTATGAGGACATAAGACATTTTCCTTAAAGAATCCTCTCCTAATAGCATAGCTGTTCAGGCAAAGCTCCACCCTCATATTGTGATATATAAGGAAGTAAACAAAGAGAGCATTTTTTCTTTATTTTTTTCCACAAAGATTCCAAGTGGAATATATTTAATATAGACATACAGACACACATCGCACTATAAACATTAAATAAATCATGTATGGTTTGTATATCTGCTTAGGAATAAAACTAGCTAAAGCACAGTGGTCACCCTGGCAGTGCAGGAGGAGGAAGAGCACCCAGCTGAGTGGGACTAATTTACTAAGTGACACTGAGCAATGCACTTAAATTCTCCAGCATCTGGTTGCTCAATATCTGATATTCTGATTTAATTTTCCTGTGATCAATCTAAGCATTCTTTTTTTAAAAAAATCCCTAGTGATTTTAACATGCAGCTAGAGTTCACAATCATTGATCTAGGTAAAGATCAATGCTACAAAGATAACGCTTTGAAAATACTAAAGCATCAAGTTTTCGTTTCTATTCAATTTCTAGTTCTTTGCAGCCTTCCCTCCCTAAGCCTGAGCCATTAGGGAAGGGGAGGCATGGAAATTCTTTAACCTCCTTTAAATAAATATATCAAGAGCTAAGCATGGCAAGATAGGTCATGGAGATTTTCTTCTAAATGTTAAGGGGTGGGAATAATTAGGATATGATATCCAGAAAAGGGAAAGCATGTTTCTTCATGACCTAGAGGAAAGAGAGATAAAGGTGCCTTATTTTCCTCCTTGGGTAAGAAATCTTAGGAAGGAGGGGTGAGAGGGAGGGATAAAAACTCCCAAATAAGTATGAGAGAGCCTGTGGGGTAGCTAGTCCCAGGCTTGTACACGAAGCCCACACATGATCATATCTAACATGAATCTTTAATATTGTATGGGCATTAACAAGAAAGATGTGCTTAAAGCAATGCTTCCTAAGGCTCACACACAGCAGGGAAGAATTTTTTGCATGCCCCAGTAGTAAAGGGCACAGTGGTTTTGAAAAGAATAGTAGGTGGATGGGATCACGAGGTTGGGACAAAGGCCACCGTGTGCAGGGATTCCATGCTGGGAGCAGCTCTCTGGAACATGAACTCCAGCAGTGAGTACCAGATGAAGAGATGGTACCTGTTGTAGCAGTCCTAGGAGCAGACCACGCACGCCAACCTGTCTAAAGCAGACATGGACAAGCATCTGGAAGATGCCCTGGGCATGCTTGGCCTTCATTCCTCACTGCACAAGATCATATAAACAACACCTCCAATAGTTAGTGACATTGAGCATCTTTTCATATGTTTGGTGGCTAAGAACAAAAACCCATATGTCACATGTTCTCACTGACAAGTGGGAGCTAAGCTATGGACAAGTACACATGGTCATACAAAATGACATGATGGACACTGGAGGGTCCAAAGAAGGGAGGATGGAAGGAGGTGAGGGATGAAAAATTACTTATGGGGTACAATGTACACTGTTCGAGTGATGGGTCCACCTAACGTCTAGACTTCGCCATTATACAATATATCCACATTACAAAACTTCACTTATATACCTTCTAAATCTAGTGAAATTTTTATAAACCCCTCTATACCCCCAACTCCTATCCAAAGCCAATCTTGGACAGCAGCAGGGAAAGTCCGAGGAGAACTGCAAGTATAATCATTTATCCACATGCGACTGAGTTATCTAAACCAACTCTTTAAACGAAGGCAGCACGCAGAGCACGCACATTGAAATCTATCCTTCCAATAGGTTTCTGAGGAAAATAGACCAATCATAGAAAATACAGGAACTGTTTTTTCTTTATACATCTGAGGAGTCTGAATTAATTGAACTCTAAACCCCCTCCTTCATCGGCGAGGATCCTACTCGACTTTACTTCATACCAGGTGGGATGATTAACAAACAGCCCCAGTAACTGTCACCCATTGGAGGAGCGAGTGGAAAGGTCTTCCTCCTCATAGGAATGTATCTGACAGGCAGTCCCAAAGAGAATTACATTTTCAACCTCAAATTTCAAAGATGGTGACTTTTTAAATTTGATTAACGAACCATCAGCAGTCCTCTAAAATTCCCACTTGAGCCAATTATTAACAACACCACTAACCAGCAAATTAATAAGAAAGCATTGAGTCTAAAAGCCAAGGTTATCAGAGACTGAAGCATAAGATAACGTTTTATAACCCAGCTCCCATCCCAGGGAAATAAAATCTGCCAGTTAAAAATGTGTTGCTAATGGCTACACAGTTAAAGTATAATAATAAACTGCATCTGGGATGCTGGTCTCTGTGGCCCTCCAGCTTCCTGTAATTTCTAATGAGCCTCTTGGGACAGCTAATGGTTAAACAGATCTATGATATCTAAGTTAACTAGGAAATTCTTGACAACTAAAAAAGCTTCGAAGCCCAAAGTTGTCTAATATACTTCAGAATAATTAAGGTTATGACTTAGTGCTGATAAGCCCTGCACAAGTGTTTTCGGAAGTCACACACTGTGGTCAATGAGATATGGCAATCATTTTTATGAATTCTTTTATTTATTCAAGAAATACTTCTATCTGCATCCAAGTGTCAGATCTTGTGATAAATGGTAAGATACAGAAATGGAGGCATAATCCATACCTCAATAACCTTTTAATTCAATAAGGCTAAAAGACACAGGAATGATCACACTATGGGAACATAATGACTAGGTAGAAGTTGACGTGGAACATGACACAACAACAGAACATCTCAGATACCCACTCTTACGTACATTACGCTGTTTCCCCCCAACATGACCAATAAATACGTTTTAAAATGTTGTTTTAAAGCAATTTTTTGTCTTTTCATAACATCATGTTGTCCTCAATTATTAAAAAATAAAAGGCATTTATTTTTTTTTAAGCATGTATAATAGATAACCACTAGCTGGCACCAGATCCTCATGAAATGTTATGCATAATTTGTTTTTTGCAGAACTAAACATACTTCCCAATAAGATATAAATAACATTACCATTACCAAATAGGCACTCCATAAAAATGCCCAAATATGTATTATTTGCTGGATATAGTATTAAGTATCTAGTATTGTTGGATTTAAAGAATAACGAAGTGCTATTTACATTGGCCTAGAAGAGAAACATGCTATTTCTAGTGATTCAAACGTGAATTTATTCTCAACCGAACTAAGCTGGGTTGTAACATTATTACAATATCATGTATTAGAAAATAGAATTTAATATTGTGGAACCCATTCCTGAAGGAGTAAAAAGAACGTTATCTTTGAGAAATATTACTGCTACAGTATTCACGTGTCTTCAGGAGGTGCAAAAGAGCAGTTGGAATTCTTGATTTCCTTGTTGATGTTTTATTAAGAGAAGCTAAATACTATTTAGTTCCTTCCAAGGCACAACACATTGTTGTTAGCTGTAGTAGAAGGCATACTTGTGTTCAGGACCTCTCGGGAAAACACGGTGAAGACCAACAGTGAGAGGTAGGAGTAGAGAACAGCTAGCTCTCTTTGTTCAATCCCTGTAGCTGGTGCATAACTGGGCATACAAACAATAGAATGTTATTGAGCATTAAAAAGAAATGAGCTCTTAAGCCACAAAAAGACATCGAGGAAACTTAAATGCACATTAGTAAGTGACAGAAGCCAATCTGGAGAAGCCATATATTGCATGATTCCAACCATATGATATTCTGGAAAAGGCAAAACTATGGAGA